GTTTTAGTTTTTTTGCTTTTTCCTCCTTTCTGTTGGTCGGAGAGTGCCGACTTTGTGGGTGGGGGAGGGTAGCAGGGTTCTGAGCTTTCCTCCCTTCTAGTCCTATATTATGGCAACTTTTTTCTTCAGGTAGTTTGCTGGAGTCGCCCGTTTATCTCTCCTAGTGTTTATCTCTCCTAGTGGCCACTTTTCCTTCCTATTAGCTTTTTTTTAATGGGAGATCTTACTCGCCGCATTTCCTCACCACCATGTTGATCCCCTTCCTGCAGTCTTGAAGTCTGCCTTTTTAGAATCAATGACTAACTGTTTGAGGGGCTACATTCTAAAGTTGTATTAAATTTTTCTTCTCAGAAATGTTTTTATGTAACAAATTTGTATCCATTTTCCACCTAAAAATCAAACAACAATGTCAATTTGCAATCTCTAGTAGACAAAAATGCTTCTTGCTATGAGATCTGAGAGACTTCAATGAATTTTATGTGTAATCTGTTATCCACAACACAATGCCTCTTTCAGTTTTGTGCATTTCCATAATCTCATTTTTTATCTCTCAGACTTGTAGTTAAAAATATTCTGAAATCAATCCTCAATTTTAGGTCATCCAAAACCAAAGCCCTATAATCCATGGTGGACCCGATGGCACATGTGAGGTGATATAACATGGCATCCCAGTGGTGGGTGTTAGCCTGTTTGGGATCAACCTGATAATATTGCTCATAAGATGGCAATCAGAGTGACTGTCAGATTGGACTTTGAAACAATGTAAAGTACAGACTTGCTTGCTGCATTGAAAAAAAGTCATTAATGACCTTTTGTGAGTATCACAATTTTTTTACAGATTTATTTTTTATATATACAAAAAACTGGGGTACAGGCAAGAGGCGCAGGAGAGTGAGAGGGTTCACCAGAGACAGAGGAGGGAGCAGAATAGGCAGACCGACCAAAAACACTGCTGAGGGGAGCAGCAGGCGAGACAGGAGAGGTCTGCCGCACCATGTGGGTAGTGACCTGGGTGGCCAGGAATCGAACCTGTGCTTCTGAGGCTGCGGACAGCTTCTCAGTGCTGCGCTCAACCCTCTGCACCCCAGAGAAGGCCCCCTTTTCTGTTTTATTTGTCATGTTGTTACATAGGAGAGGAATCACTGGGTTTTATGGATGCATTTTGATATTTTGAGAAACCTCCATACTATGTTCCATCATCTGCACCACGTTACAGCCCCACCAGTGATGTAAACAGTTTCTTCCCTCCACATCATTGCCATAGCTTATGCTTTCTGATGATTTAATATGGGTTATTCTTCCAAGTAGGAGGTAGTATGTCATTGTCGTTTTAATTAACATTTTTGTACATTTGTTGAGCATCTGTATTGTCTCTTTAGAGATGTTCCTATTTTGCTTTAATACCCATGTTTTGATTGGTCTATTGGCATTTCATCTATTGATTTGTGTATGTTCTTTGTAGGTCTTGGATTTTAGCAGCTTGTCAGTTGTATTATGGACAATTATTTTCCCCAATTAATGGGGTATCTTTTCATTTTAACAATTATGTCTTTACCTATGCAGAAACTATTTAGTTTGATAGCATCCATTTGTTTATTTTTGGTTATTTTCCCTTGTTTTTCATTTTAATTCCCAAAGGCATCACTGAATCTAATGTAGTGCAGTGCTTCGTCTACTTTTTCTTCTCTTTAGATAAGGTTTCAGGTTTGTATCTCACTTGTTAGTCCATTTTATGCTCATTTTCCTGCATGGTGGTGTGATAGTGTACTAGATTCATTGTCTTGAGTTTGACCATATAGTTTCACCTATACCATTTATTGAAGAGACTCTCCATTTTTCATTGTGTGCTCATGGCTCCATCATAATAGATTCAATGCTGAAGTAAGTATAAATTTATTGCTGAACTCTCGATTCCATGCCGTTTTTTTGGTTTCTCTATTTTTATTACAATATCCTACTATTTTTTCACAGTAGTTTTGTAGTACAGTTTTAAATCTGGGAAAGTGATACATGAGACAAAGTCATATAATTTTCTAAGGAAATGAACATATATATTCCCATCATCCAACGTATCTGGATTAATTCCAAATGTGATGACAAGTCATAATTAAATTTTGAGCAAAGGTGTTTCCTAATTGCATATATGTATCAAAGTCATTCTGACTGATTGATAGGAAAGAATGGAAAGGATAAAAGAGAAGAACACAGGAAATTAGTGAGTACTCATTTCACAAACAATGAGATATTTATTCTATAATACTTAAAAAGGATCAATGTGAAAGTTTATACTGAACATTAAATATATATATATATGTATACACACATGCAAATATATAAGCACACACACTTTTTTACATACATAAATTTATTTATATAGTCTTTGATATAAAAAATTTAACTATTCTTTTTAAGATACTTTCAATTTTTGAAATATTTGTCAATCAGAAAATTCACAAGTTAAAGATAAACGATCTAGAGAGACCTAATAAAACTTAGTACATCAATCCACAAAGATGCAAATATCCAAGAAGAAAATGCCAACAAATTACATTAAAAAAAGGATGATCAACTGGGATTTATTGCAGGAATGAAGTATGGCTCAACATCTGCAAATAAGTCAACACATTATATTGCATCAACAAATGGATGTATAAAAACCATATGTTCACTGCTTTAGGTGCAGAAAAAGTACTTGATATAGCTCAACATCTACTTGATTAAACACTCTCAATGAAGTGGAATAATTAAGGTCATATGACAGGACACAGTCAATGTGAAAAACTGAAACTTCTTTTAAGAGGAACAATAAGAGAATTCTCTCTCTGCCACTTTTATTCAATGTGTTATTACAAGTCACAACCAGAACTATGAGGCAAGAAAAACTGCAAGGTGATCAAAGTTAGAAGGGGAAATAAAAGCTGTCCTAAAATTTAGATAACATGATTTTTATTCATAGAAAAAATGCTTAATTTATTAAAAGTTCATGAATTTAAATTAAATTATTTAATTAAAATTTTTAAATTAAATTCACTTAATTAAAAATTAATGAATTTCATAAAGTTGCATGAGGCAAAACCAACATATCAAATTTTGTTGTTTCTGCACACTAAAAATAACCTATCAGAAAGAAAAATTCAAGGAGCTGTTGTCATTTATGACTCCATCAACAAAGAATAAGACCTGTCTGCCCCTGTGAGGAAAGTCAGGTAAAGGGAGGGCCCAGCAGCCCACCAGAGAGCAGCAAACACCTGGGAGAGTCTTTTGGCCCACACACAGCACCAGCGATAGCATGAACTCTGGAGGGATGGGAATGGGGAAGTGGGGAGGCCAATGGAGTGTGATGTGGATTTACTGGGCCTATAGTAGAGGGAATGGCATGAGAACATACATTTGAGGAAGCTTGAGTCTATAACCCATAAAAAATACAATGTTGTAAACCAATTTCAAATCAATGAACATAATAGGTGTGGTGGGGGAAAGGTGTAGGTACATATAGATCTATTAAATATTGAGAGTCTAGAAATCAGTCTTATGATCAATGGATTCCTTTTTTTCAAGAAGAGTGCAAAGACAGTTCTGGAGGAAAAGCATTGCCTTTACAGAAAACACTGCTAGGAGACACCTGGTTGTCCATGTGCAAGAATAATTCTGAAAACTTTGCTTCACCACAATCTAAAATTCACTATTAAATGGAGAATATATATAACCTTACCAACTGAGATGATAAAATTCCCTTAAGAAAATATGAGTAAATCCTAGTGATTTGAGTTAGGCAACGTCTTCTTAGAAATGACAATAAAGCACACCAATAGACAAAAATAGATAAGTTGGACTTCATCAAATTAAAAATTTGGGGACATCAAATGGTTACTATCCAGAAAATGAACAAAACCCACAAAGAAAATATGAAAGGACTTATATCTAAGATATACAAAGCAGTACTGCAGCTTAACAACAAAGACTAATAAGCTAATTTAAAGATTATAATTATTTAATTTAAAATTCATTATTTCATTTTTAATAATTATTTCACCTATAATCACCCTACCCTACATAGCATCTACTGTTTATAAATACTTATAGATGACTAAATGTCAGTGTGAAAGCAACTATCTTAGAATTACTAAATAAAATATAATTCTAATCTGAAAGTCAGTGACATCTATTTATTTATCTGCTTGTTTATTTATTTCAGGTAACATTGGTTGCAAAACTATATACGAGCTACACAAATAGATTCACAAACCTAAAGAAAATAGATTACATGATTCCATTAACAGAAACATTTAGATTATGCAAAATTTGTACAGACAAAACTAAATTTTTTCTTGGCTAGAACAGAGAGAGACAGAACTTAGGAAGATCCAGTCAAAGTGTAAAGGCTCCTTCTTGGGATGATAAATTCTATGAATTTAATATCATAGAAGGTACAAAATTCTTTGAAAATATTATGAAAGACTGAAATCTACATTTTAAATTCAGCAAATGAATAGTATGAGAATTAAATACTAAGAAAGCTTTAAAAAACCAAACAGAGCAATCTCAAGCAATGATTCTAAGCCATTAGGACACAGCGGCGGAAGAGTTTTCTCTTTAATTTATCTGTCAGCAGGTGGCAAACATGGTCATCTCTCATTTTCTGCTATTCTTGACACTCTTCTAAAATATAGCACATAAAATAAGTGACTTACACTTGTAAGGGCATTAAATCTTAACTGGCAATAGCATTTATAATCTTCAAACAGACACTGAACCCGAACAAGTTCGCTTTGTTTGTATACAAGCATATATAGTTTCATATATAGTTTTGCAACCCAATGTTCACTTTGTTTGTACTTTTGATTTCGCCACATACCACAAAACGTTCTGATTGTTAACACTATCTATTGACTTTGAGGTGTGCAGTTACAGTTTAACTTTGTGATTTATTTTTCTTGGATATAAACATGAGCAATGAGAAAGAAAAGCTGTTTTTAAAAGAAGCACCACATTTCACCAGGATGTCTGTGAAATGGACTTCAGTTTTTCTGCTGCTTCAGCTGGCCTTTTACTTTAGCTCTGGGAGTTGTGGCAAGGTGCTGGTGTGGCCCGCGGAATACAGTCTTTGGATAACAATGAAAACAGTCCTGGATGAACTTATTGAGAGAGGTCACGAAGTGGTTGTTCTGACAACTCCAGTTTCCATTCTTGTTGATCACAGCAAACCATCTGCCATTAAATTTGAGATTTATCCTACATCTTTCTCTAAAACTGAGTTTGAAGGTGTGTTCAATCAATTAGTGACTGATTGGACATATGAGTTGCCTAAAAACTCCTTTTGGACATATTTTTCAAAAATGCAAGGTCTCGTTTGGAATTTTTTTGATGCTTTTCACCAGCTCTGTAGAGATGTAGTCAAGAACAAGAAACTTATAAAAAAACTCCAAGAATCAAAATTTGATATGGTTTTCTCTGATGCTGTGGGACCCTGTGGTGAGCTGCTGGCAGAGCTCCTTAATGTACCATTTGTGTACAGTATTCGCTTCACACCTGGAAATCAATTTGAAAAGCATATTGGAAAACTTCCACTGCCACCATCATATGTACCAGTTGTTTTGTCAGAATTAAGTGATAAAATGACATTCTTAGAGAGGGTAAAAAATATGATATATGTGCTCTACTTTGACTTTTGGTTCCAAACAATAAATGAGAAGCCATGGAATGAGCTTTATAGTGAAGTACTCGGTAAGTCTAGTTTTAAATTTATAGAGTAATATCTTATCTATAATAGCACCTTGGAGGGTACTATTTTATAACTGTATGGTGAGAGGGATTTGTCTTTTAGAAGTACAGTGATGAGTAATAATAAGAATGATCAATCTCACAACTATTACGGGACAGATTGAAAATGCAGGGTAATTTTGAGCCTTGTGATCCATGACTATTGTGAAACACCTTAGAGATTCAGGAAACTCAAATTAAACACTGTATCTCTTGCAATATCATATCCATTTTTGCTTATTGTGTTTGTAACATACATTATTTTATAGACAATTTTCAAGTTCCAGAATTTTGATTGCAGACATTGTAAATAAGTCCTGCATATATTCTGCATAGAATGCTCAACAGAAGTTCAAGAATAGTGATTAATATGTTAAAATTGATGACCCTACATATCACACTCCTACAAACTTCACAATCCAGTGTAATGGTGTTGTGCAATCTATGGGTTTTGACAATTTATAGTAATATGTATTGATTTTATTTAAAATAATCCTTTTACTGCCAAAATATCCTCTACACTGTATCTTTTTATCCCTTATATATTCGAGTAATGCATTCTTGTTCATCATTTGGAAAGACATTGAGACTTTCATTCACTACACATTAGAAGGAGAAGTTACGTATTTCTCACACAGCATTCTATGGAGCATCGAGGAGATTGTTTCCTCTGATTTTTCCTCAGTCTGCTTATGTGAAAATTGAGCTATGGGCAGAATTGTAAACTCAGACCTGTAATTGAATTTTGTAATGATTACGAACTACTTTCAAAAATTGCCATATATATTGACATTCAGATATTAAAATATTCTCATTTCATCTACTTTGGTTGCTTTTTTCCTTCAGGAAGACCTACTACATTATTTGAGTTGATGGAGAAAGCTGATATATGGCTTGTTAGAAATTATTGGGATTTTTGGTATTCTCACCCACTCTTACCAAATTTTGAGTTTGTTGGAGGATACCACTGCAAACCTGCCAAACCCCTGCCTAAGGTAACCTATCCTTGCTTGTTTCATTTGCTTTGAAATTCTTCAACAATATTCTAGCTTAAAAGGAAGCCATTCCTTCCCACTAAGAATGTGCATCCCCACAATACCTTTTGCCAAATCCAAGATTTAATTTCCTCTCACTGTAGCATTAAACAATTCTCATCTGAGATTCATGGCTTGATATCTCAGAATATAGAGGGGATTGCCTAGACCATTTGAGCAGGTGTTTGTTACCACACACCCGGTTTTTGCAAAATCTTGCTTAAGTACCATTGCAGATCATGGTTCCCCACATCAGAGAGACTGACAAATGAGAGGAAATGTACACTACTAAAAATAAACACCATAAATTCTACATATAGAACAAATATCAAACTACCTCTGCTACTAATACCTGAAAACACACCATACTATAAATTTGAAAAGAAGTCTATTAGCATAGAGGATATTTCTTGTAAAGGGAAGCATTTTAAATTGATATCATATGCACAAATGCATAATTAAAAATGGGTGTCCTTTACTGAAATATTTTACCATCTTGAAGACATCCTGGGCCTTTGTAAATGTCAGGAAATAAGACTAATATATTCAAGGGTTAACTGTACTGTTTTGATTGCAAAATTTAACGATATTGGGCAACTCTCGCAAGGTCTAGAGTACGAGGCAAGTTATATTCAGTCTTTTTTTTTAAATAATAAATTTTATTTTTATATTCCCCATATAATTGCAACCCCCCTATTCTGAAACCAATCCCTCCACTTCCGCCCTCCACCCCCCAAAAAGTGTCTCTGGTTCATAGTTTTTTGTTGATTTTGATTTTCACTTTCTTATAGTTATTCATGTTCCTTGTCCCTTATTTAAGTTTTCTAGATTCCTGCTATAAGTGAGACCATCCGGTATTTTTCTTTTTCATTGTGGCTTATTTCGCTGATCATGATCCCTTCCAGCGCCATCCATGTTGCTGCAAATGGCATGTGTTTATCTTTTTTGAATGCTGAGTAATATTCCATGGTATATATGTACCACATCTTCTTGATCCAGTCATCTATTTTTGGGCATTTGGCTGTTTCCAAAGCTTAGCTATTGTAAATAGAGCTGCTTTAAACATAGGGGTGCAGGTGTTCTTTGTAATGGATGTTTCTGTGTCCTTTGGGTAAATACCTAGGTGTGGAATTGCTGGATCATATGGAAGCTCTATGTTTAGTAGGTCCAGAAATCTCCACACAGCTCTCCATAGTGGTTGGACCAGTTTGCACTCCCACCAACAGTGCAGAAGAGTTCCTTTTTCTCCACACCCTCTCCAACATTTGTTGTTGCTAGTTTTTTTTAATATGTGCCATTCTCACTGGTGTGAGATGGTATCTCATGATAGTTTTGATTTGCATTTCCCTGATTATAAGTGATGTTGAACATTTTTTCATATGGCTGTTAGCCATTTGCATTTCCTCTTCAGAGTTTCTTTTTAGCTCTTCTGCCCATTTTTGGACTGGATTATTTTCTTTGTTGTTGTTGAGTCTCATCAGCTCTTTGCAGATTTTTGTGATCAGTCCTTTATCATTAGTGTTGTGTGCAAAAATGTTCTCCCAGTTGGTGGGGGTTATCTTTGTTTTTGTTATTGTCTCTTTTGCTGTGCAGAAGCTCTTTAATTTGATGTAGTCCCAGCTGTTTATCTTTGCCTTCACTATCACTGCTTTGGGTGATGTGTCTGCAAAGATGTCTTTCATGTGCATATAACGTAGTGTTTCGCCTATATTTCCTTCTATGTATTTTATGGTTTCAGGTCTTACGTCTAGTTCTTTAATCCATTTTGAGTTGATTTCTGTGTGTGGTGTGATGTAGTGGTCAAGCTTCATTCTTTTGCATGTAGCGACCCAGTTTTCCCAGCACCATTTATTGAACAAACTTTCTTTGCTCCAATGCATATTCTTTGCTCCTTTGTCAAATACTAGTTGACCATAAATCTCTGGGTTTATTTCTGGAGTTTCTATTTGATTCCATTGGTCTGTGTGTCTGTTCTTGTTCCAATACCATGCAGCTTTGATGATAATGGCTTTGTAATAAAGTTGAAGTCTGTACTATAGACTTCAAAAAAAGAAGTTCCTTCTTTTTTTTTTCAGGAGAGCTTTGGCTATTCGGGGTTTTTGGTGATTCCATATGAATTTCATCAATAATTGTTCTATTTCTTTGAAGAATGTCATTGAAATTTTGATTGGAATAGCATTGAATCTGTATATTGCTTTTGGTAGGATGGCCATTTTAATAATGTTTATTCTTCCAATCCATGAGCAGGGGAGGTCTTTCCATTTCTTTGTGTCTTCTTCTATTTCTTTTAACAGTGTTTTATAGTTTTCTTTGTATAGGTCCTTTACCTCTTTTGTTAGATGATTTATTCCCAAATATTTGATTTTTTTTTTGTTTCAATAATAAATGTTTTTTTTTTTATTTCTTCTTCTTCAGATTTATTGTTTGTGTATAGGAAGGCTACTGACTTTTGCATGTTGATTTTGTATCCTGCCACTTTACTGAACTGATTGATGAGTTGAATTAGTTTTTCTGTGGAGATTTCGGGGTTCTCTATGTATATTATCATATCATATGCAAATAGTGATAGTTTGACTTCTTCTTTTCCTATTTGGATTCCTTGGATGTCTTTCTCTTGTCTTAGTGCTCTGGCTAGGACTTCCAGTATTATATTGAAAAGCAGTGGTGAGAGTGGACATCCTTGTCTTGTTCCAGATCTTACACCGTGGAATATTACTCAGCATTCAAAAAAGATAAACACATGTAATTTTCAGCAACATGGATGGCACTGGAAGGGATCATGCCCAGCAAAATAAGCCAGAAAGAAAAAGAAAAAACCCAGAAGTTCTCACTGACAGCAGGAATCTAGAAAACCTAAATAAAAGACCAGGAAAAAGAATAACTATAAGAAAGAAAAAATCAAAATCAACAAACAACTGTGAACTAGAGATACACTATGGAGGGGGGTGCGGGGAAAGGAGGGTTTGGGGTCAAAATAAGGATGTTGCAATTTATGGGGAATATAAAAATTAAAATAAGTAAATAAATAAAATAGCCAAATTAGTAGAAACTGGCAGTAAAATGATAGTTGGTAGCAGAGTAGTGAAAAGGGAAGTGGATTAATGTTTAATGGTTCTAGAAATTCAGTTTTGCAAGATGAAACAGTTCTGAAATTGGTCACAACACAAAGAGAATTTACTTACCACTGATCTATAAACTTAGGAATGATTGGAATGGTAAAAGTTACCTTACATAAATTTTACCAGTTTTTGAAAGGTGCATCATGTCTAACGTATGTTAGAATAATTTGTTGGAATAATTTCTAGTTGAACTCTAGAGTTATTTAGGCAATGACTTAATAATGTTTGCTATGATGCTAGTCCTTTATGATGAACAATTTCTTTCTTCACAGGAAATGGAAGAGTTTGCACAGAGCTCTGGAGAAAATGGTATTGTCGTGTTTTCTCTGGGCTCGGTGGTCAGTAACATGCCAGAAGAGAGAGCCAATGTGATTGCATCGGCCCTGGCCCAGATTCCTCAAAAGGTTAGATAAAGTCACTTCATGTGGACAACCTCCATGTGTGTGCATTTTGTAAAGATATTTCTTGCAGGATAAGTAAACAATCATGTAGCTCCATTTTTTTTTTCTTGGATATCACTTCAAACAAAATATGCATGGCAGGTGCTAAATGCACAGTGGGTTTTTTTTTTTGAGTGATAATAATTTGGCATTAATATTGTGATCAGAATAAAATATATTTAAAAGGTAACTGCAAGTTTACATTATGAAGGTTTTGTGGGCAGGTACAGAAATAGCCATATAATGCATTGTCACCTGCTGTTTCCTTTGGGACTTCTGAAGGCAAGTACACAATGCAAGTGCTACCAGCAAGAAGTTAAATTTCAATATGTTAAGTATAAATTGATAAAGCAGGAGAGGTAATTATGCAGTGGATGTTTGTGGGCAAAGTCCGGTCTTTTTTCCCCTATATTTGAAATTGCACCATTCAGTGTGCTGTTACCCGGGTCTTTAGAGAAGTGATGGCTAAGGTCTCAGATTAATCTAGGTCTAGGTTTGATAGTGCATTGCTTAATATGCTAATAGTCACTTTAAAAAAATGGCATCATCACAATTTGGATTTTTTCAATAACTATATTTTGATTTTATATAATAAAATTGTATTTATTTTACATAATGAAAACAGACTTTCCTTTTCACACTAAATGAATTTCCAAAGTTAAAAACACCATGTCCTGGCTTCATGAAGTGCTTAATAGCCAGAGATCTAAAAGTACCTCAATGTACTTCCTAATCAGAGATTATTTACATTATTAGTAAGTTATCTGTAAACACCATTATTATTTCTCTTGATTATGGAATTACTTTGCTACCCTTTTGTAAACTAAATGATACAAATCTTTATCAATGTAGCCTAGTGAACAAGTTAAAACAAAATACTCGCTCTTAGACACTTAGAAAGAAATAAATAGGTTAATGTTACGTTGGAATTTTGAGAGTAATTAAATAAATCAGAAATTAAATTCAAAGATCTTACTGATTTCCAACACATTCTGAACGATATTATATATGTCTAAAATGTCTTTAATTTTTATAATTTTAATAATCCCAATTGTTGTTTCCCCTGTGTGAAGGGCCATGATAGGATGCATACTTTCATGAATATAAAAAAAAGTGTGCATAACTATTAGTGTTTTAACATTTCTCAGTTTTAACATCTAATGCATATGTGTGAATGAATGGTGTTAGACTTGATGATCTCCGAATGTCTTTAGAATTCAAACATATTATAACTTGTAAACTTTACTCTTGGAATAAGATACATTCTTTACCCTACCAGGTTCTATGGAGATTTGATGGCAAGAAGCCAGCTACCTTAGGGGCAAACACTCGGCTGTATAAATGGCTCCCCCAAAATGACCTTCTTGGTAAGATTCTGGGGAAAAAAAGAAACCACTGAAATTAGAGTAAGTTCAACCATTCTGACAATAAGTGTGCGGCATATCTGAACAAACAATTCACCAAGAAAGATACCCAGAGTGATAAAACATCATTAAAAATAATGTTCATTATAACTTTTAATACGGAGATACAGGTTAAAACCACAATGAGATATCATCTGATACCTGTGAAAAGTTTACAGGTAAAAAGAATCCCAGCAAGAGTGGTGGAGAGCATGTGGAGAAACAAGTGGTCCTATGAACTGTTTGTAGGAATGTAAATTGCTGAAGCCATTATGGAAAGCAGTCTGATTTTATCTTAAAATCAAAAATGGAAAGAAAAAAAAATGGAAATATCCTAAGATCCACTTCACACTAGGACATTTCTCCAAAGAAACTGAAACCAAAAAATCATATGTTCTATAATGTTTATTTCTTATTATTTACTGAATGTAGCCCTGGGAAACATCCTGAAGTCCACTGACACAAGATTGATGACAAAGACTGGTAGATCCACAGGATGGCAGAGTAATCAGACATAAGGAAAGATCAAATGCTGGGGATGTATGGCAAAATGGGAGGATCTCTAAGAAATTGTGTATAGTGTAAAGCAAGTCCGAAAGACAAACATTGGCTTACATAGCAAACAGCTATATTCCTTCAAATCGATAGACACTAATAAACTAAGTGAAGGCTCTAAAGTTAAAAGGGAGCTGAGAGGGAGAAAGAGTGAAGACCATAGAAAGTTGGTGCTGGGGGAAAATAACCTTAAGTACTCTTGTTTGAGATAGGAAAGTTATTAATGAATTTTATGTGAATAATAATCTGTTCTGGAGAAAACAATGCCACACTCAGTCTCCAAATTGTTTGACTCTCATTTTTCCCTCAGAATTAAAATTAATTTCTTGAAATTAACCCATTTAGGTCATCCAAAAACCAAGGCTTTTATAACCCATGGTGGAGCCAGCGGCATCTTTGAAGCGATCTACCATGGCATCCCGATGGTGGGCATTCCCTTGTTTGCAGATCAACCTGATAACATTGCTCATATGACATACAAGGGAGCAGCTGTTGCATTGGATTTTCAAAAAATGTCAAGCACAGATTTGCTCAATGCACTGAGGACAGTTATTAATGACCCCTCGTGAGTATCAGAATTTTTCTCAGTAGTGTTAACAAATATTATTATTAATGTTTCATCCCTTTTTTAATAAGTATGCAACTATTAAGATAATATAACCTATCAAATCCATTTTAATTTTTAATCAGACATTAATTTCAAAGTTTCATTTTGATTCTGCTTGAGTGAATGGGTAAATAATTATGCAACAATTTTCTACACGAGCAAATGCTTAATTACATAGGTAATTGTAAAAGTTTATAGGAAACACAGGAAAATATGAAGAACTTGAAGCTCTATTTGAGGTCTGTACCTAAAATTTCAGAAAGTATAAATCTACTTTAGACCAAAATATGATTTTTTGTTACTATTTTAGCAGATTTTATAGATACAATTTATATATAATAAAAATCAATAATTTACATATGAATTTCAAGTAAATATAGTATATTACAGAGTTGTTAAACTATCAGTATAAACTGTATAAACCATCAAGTATAGAACATTTTCAACATACCTAAAAATTTCTTACATAACTTAGAAGTCGGTCTCCATACCTCTCTCTTACACAACCATTATTCTATTTTCTGTCCCTAGTTGCCCTAATCTGGCTTTTTCATATGATCAGAATCATTTGAAATGATTTCTGTATTACAGCTGGTTTCTTTCTACAGTGAGATATTAGGGTAATTTCAATGAACAGCCAGAAAACCACCCCTCCTATATCACAGTGTACATGAAACAAAATATTAAAAGAAACCATTTGGTATGAACATGCAAAATACTTCAGTCCAAACACCATAATTATTTTAACGTGATGAGAAGTCAAATGGAAATGTTGAGGAGAGAGTGTCGTAATCTGAAGGGGCAAAATCTAGAGACAAGAGATGAGTTAAGCACAGAAACTATTGAGTGATTTCATCCACGATGACATAAGCTTCTATAAATGTTTCATAAGCATTATGTATGATTCTACTTTAAATCATAACATTTCATCTGATAGAAAAGTCTTAACATCCCACCTTATATTTCACCTTCATATCCAAATCTATGACATTTATTTTGGATTATATGTATGACCTTTGAAAAAATGGTTCAGAAAATGACATGCTTAGGCAAAATAGCTCCCTTCCGATATGTATAAATTTTGTTTCTCCCTAGATATAAAGAAAATATCATGAAATTATCAAGGATACAGCATGATCAGCCAATGAAGCCTCTGGATCGAGCTGTCTTCTGGATCGAGTTTGTCATGCGTAATAAGGGAGCCAAGCACCTGCGGCCAGCCTCCCATGACCTCACCTGGGTCCAGTACCACTCGTTGGATGTGATCGGGTTCCTGCTGGCCTGTGTGGCAACTGCTGTGTATATCACAGCAAAATGTTGTCTGTTTTGTTGCCGGAAGATTGTCAAAACAGGAAAGGACAAAAGGGAATAGTCGTTTCTGTGTCCTAAGGCTGATATATCTCACATAAGGGACAATAAAACAGCATTTTAATTATCACACTAAGGTTCAAAATAAATGGAGTTTAGAGAAACTCCCGTCATGCAGTTATCCCATGAAAGAGAATTAGTTGCATTTTTAAAAACTTTTCCTTGAGTGTGTGATTTCCGGTCAAACTGAGTTTAGGTGCCAGCTGAATTCTTCTCCTTGGAGACACTGATAAATCTTGGCACAAACTCACTATTTCTTTGAACCCTAAAAATAAAATGAACTATTTTGATAATCATAAAAATTTGAGGGACAACCTAACTAAGGTTGTATCCTATATGAGGCCATGCCTACAAGACAGTAAAAGGTGGTTATTTCATCTAATGCATGGAAACCAACAGAGAATTAAGAAAAGTGAAGAAATAGAGGGATATGTTCCAAATGAAAGAACAAGAAAACCACAAAGATATTAATGACATTACATAAGTGATAAAAATATTGATATCTGGGAAGCCATCTCAAAGTAAAACCAGACATTCATATGAGAGTAATAGCATTATCTTGTCCTTGAACTGCATTAAAGATATCTAGCCAGTGCCAAAATAAATTGTTTTAAGAAGATATCAAGCAAACAAATGTTTAAGAAATCATTCAAATCATGAGCACTGATAAATATGCACTTTCAGCTGAAGGACAGAATCAGTTAATTTCCCTTTTCATCTTTTCTAAAGCATATGTTGCCAATTACATATAGTCACGAACTAGTAATTACTGAAGTTGCTAATACTAATCAATGCACGTTTTATACTACTAACATATCTTCCTCTACTTGTCCCAGAAAAGTCCCTGATATTGATCCTCTTGGGGAACATTTTAGGTTTTCTACCTGAACTCAATGAAACTTACTACACAACAATACAGTTAATGGGTCAAATGTTAAAGACAAGGAGAAAATCTTACACCAAGGAGAAAAAAACTTGTTACATGTAAGGGAACCCCCATAATACTATCTGATATTTCAGAAACTTTACAGGTTAGAAAGAACCAGCTTAAAAAAAATTATCAGCATAATAATTTCAAAAAGATGAAAGAAAAATAGTTGCCGCCAAGAGCAGTCTACTGGCAAAACTGACCTTCATTTTTGAAGTAATTACAAAGAGTCTCCCTGGCAAGTAATGTCAGGCCTGGCCTATAAACAGGGCTTCCAACAAATGTTAAAGGAACTTATTTAGGTTTAAGCAAAAGAGTGCTAATTGTTCAAATGAAAACATATGAAAGTATAAATCTTATTGGTAAAGATAATATAATGTAGTAAGGGTACTGAGGACACTTGTGCAAAAGTCAAGAATAAAGGTGAACTTCAAAAGTTCTGTACTTTTATAGATTAATGGTCAGAACATTTATTTTCAAAAAGTAGCCTAACTAAAATTATTGCTATTGGAAATTATATTTTTGTAATTGAAGAGTTGGTCAAAATTGTAAAGAGAAAAATTAACAACTTTAAAAAGAAGGAATATATAAAAAAAATTAAAAAAAAAAAGAAGGAATATAAAGATATTAGTGCAGTTTTATTGAATCTCTGGAAGACTTTGGGCCCTCTGCATTTCAACACTTATGGAGGGTGCACACACAAGACTCTTATGACTATATACTGGAAAATGGAAATTCCCATACCAGAGTCTTTGTATATTTGCAATTACTAATAGCAAAACATTAAGAAATTATTTAGGTAAAGTATTTGGGAAATTAAAACAAATTTAAGGGAAGAATTAAAGGATTACAGTGCTGAAAGATAAAGTCATGGACATAATTAACTTTTTCTTAGTGCTCATATTCAGGGAAATAAAATATAGAAAAGTCAATAACTAATTCCTTAGGAAAATAACATAGAATAAATATAAGTGATTTAGTTGACTGATCACCATAAGGAATTAAAGAGTTAATATCTTGCTGTGTGTCTTCCTTCCAGAATCTACATTAGCGATTAAAATGGGGTGAAAGAAGAGTCTGGGTCTATATTGTCTAACAGCTTCTCCTCCTCAGTCCTGTGTGCTGACTGTAATAATAACCAATAAGAACAAGTGAGGGTTCCTCCAAAGCTGAAAACAGAATTACCATACACCCCAGCAATTCCACTCCTTTGTGTACATTAAAGGGACTTGAGCTCAAAGCAGGATCTCCATAAGGTTGTTGCATATTCATCTTCAGATCAGTCTTACTCACAGTGGTCAAAAAGTTGAAGCAACCTAAATATGCAAAGTCGATGAGTTGAGAAACACTGTTGTACACACAAAATGTTATATGAACTTTGAGGACAACTGTTGAGTGAAATCAGCCATTCCCACAAAGACAAATACTGTATGATTCCAAATACATGAACTTTCTACAGGAGGCAAATTCACAGAAACAGAGAGCACAGTGAAGGTTACCAGGGAATGGTTAAAGAGAATTCTTATGTAATGGCTCTAGAATTTCAGTTTAGTAAGATGAAAAAAATCTGCTAATTATTACACAATAATGGGAATATACTTATCCATTAATCTAAAATGTTAGCTACTGTTAAAATGTAAATATTATGTTACTTTAATTTTGCACTTTTTGTAAAAGACACTATCCTAGTAATTTCTAAAGTCCATGATGGTCTCTCCTTAGCAATTTGAGCAATCCTCCTAGCACAATTGCTGTGCTGTTGCTCCTTTGTGATCAGCAAATTTTTCTTCACAGGAAATGGAAGAGTTGGCACAGAGCTCTGGAGAAAATGATATTGTGGTGTTTACTCTGGGCTCAATGGTCAGTAACATGCCAGAAGAAAGAGCAAATGCGATTGCATAGGCAGATACCACAAAAGGTTAAATAAAGTATCTTCATAGTGGACAACAACTAAATGTGACCATTAACTCTGCAGTACATGTGGATTTATGCAGGCATGCCAAATTATAAAGATGGTTCTGCTTTATCTCCCCCATAAGCTCAAACCAAAATATACATGACAGGGATTTAAGCAGTAAGAAGGACATTTTTTATAATAATCACCTGGCATTAACTTTGTAATTGAAATTAAATATAGTTAAGGGGCACAAAGTGTAGATTTGCTGTTATAATGGTATTTGGGGAAGTATCAGAAACAAAATTCTGCTCTATCCTTTCTTCCCTTTTCCATGCAAGAATTCTGAGGGCATAGTACATGCCACAGTACAGATGTCATCAAAGGATTAAATATTAACTGTAACCTTAAGCAGAAAGTGATAAAGTTTGAAGGTATCATGCAATATTGGCTTGTCAGTAATCCACGCCTCTCTCCTCTAAAACTTTTGGAACTAGCCTGGTGAGTTCAGTTTACTGTTCAGTTTACTATTCAGATAAAGAATAGCCAAGCTTTACCGAGCTGTTTCCATGTACCTGAGCCAAACACAATGACTAAGATATGAGTAAGAAAAGAGAGGATTACAAGGAGTGAACCTGAAATCACCTGAGTTAGAAAAAATATCATATGCACCTCTATTGATGAGACATACAAATAATTGCTTCCCATTTCATAGAACAAACCTCATTCTCCCTGTCTTTTGGAGTACTTGTCAGTTTTTTAACTGAA